ACCTCTCTTAAATCAAAGGTATATTTTACAAGCAATACGATTTTATACGAAAGAGAAAAAAAATGAAAGCTTGACTTGATTTCATTTCTACTTGATTGAAACAGCTTGACTACCTCCTCTTCACTGACACTTCCAAGCAGGAGTTCATTTGCATGAAAAGTCAGTTACGAAGAGGAAGTTAGAAAGAGAGGTTCAGTTCTTCGTATCATCTGAGGATCAAAGTTTGCAAATTGAGGTATTGTGTAAAATTAACCCATCGACCATTACAAGGCGGTGAGCATAACACGTAAAGACACCCCTTTGAAAGTTTTCGGTCCCGATAGACTCCCGGTGAGAGCTGCTGTCGTAGAGAAGTGAAATTGCATACGCTACTCGGCTCGTAACGCTGAAAACAATAGTCTACTTAGTAACACAGATCATTTCACAACACAGCACATACCCGTCTGTGAAAATGATTGGTTCTCTAGTCTAGCCTAACAAGGACAAAGAGAGTGTCTTGTTTCCAGGCCCCATTCGCCGGACCAGTCTACGGTTTTGCAAAGATTACCCATGGTCTGGTGGATATAGACCATGCAATTGTTCCTATTGCTCGTTATACAAGACACACACGATCGTCTGGCAATACGGCTGTTACCAAATACTCTGTACCTAAATGCAAGACTTCAACCTTTCCAACGGTCAGTTATTGTACGAACAATAAGAATCTGGAGCACACTGTCAGACGAGCCGTTAACCTAGGTATGAACAATGTAAACGACTTCAAACCTGCTTTGATGCGTTATTATCAAGAACCATAATTGGGACTGTCCCAACTGTGGCTCTTGGTTATTCAGTCGACTTCACTCAGGAGATCTATCACGTTAGGTTGACAATCCCAGAACTTATACTGAACTATCTGTGCGAAATGCAATTGAATGTCGCAGCCTGAAAACAACACTAACTCCATGCTGTTCTTAATTATTAATTATTGATGTAATCGTTTTACTATTTTAATACTCTTGGGACTACAGTAACTGCTAAGCGAGTTGGTCACTAAACTATTGCATTCTGGTCCAAGAGATTTTTTTTCGTTTTCTTTTTTCTTTTTTTTTTTTTTTCCTTAACCAGATTTTGGCAACTAAACGACTAGTTGCCTTTAATTTATTAGCTTTGCCAACAATACATACAATCTAGAACTATACTCAGACCAGGGGCTGATTCTTTAGTGGGATTATGGGTGAAACATTGATACATCCGGTTAAGTTTCGTCCCCAGGCACTTATCCTGTAAAAATCTGACGGAAACAAAAAAGACAAAGTAGTCTAACGTGGTTCAGGTGACCGAGTCACAACCGTGACTTAGAGAGGAATTGATTCTACGGAGACAGAAAGGGTGAGTTTGATGTAATAGGCAGACTTCAAAGAAATTTAGTTTGCATTTTTACCACGTAAGACTCAATCAATTGAGCAGTTGTGTGTGCTATGAACAGAGCGCAAAGGCATCGCGTGATATGATGTGGTACGAGCTGACTGTTGTGTGCTATGGTCATCAATATCGACGTCTTTCGATATCGCTATAGAAATTATCTTGCAGTAATATGAAGGTCGAACGTAGAAAAACCGCGTTTCTTACTCAGTGTCAGCATTATTAACAAATTAAACCGAAAGGAACCTTTAATTTTCTCATTTCGACTGAGAGAAAACACTCACTTGTAACATAATCCTATGTAATCATCGGAAAGGCGGATTAGCATATGAAATGGTAAATAAAAATCCACGATCAAGTCAAAAATCTCCAAATACAACTGTATAATTCTGAAATTGCAACTTGCGAAAAGATGATTTGCAGACTACAGATTTTGTACTCCAAACAAGTTGGAATTTTGAGCCTTTCGAGTTGTATTGAGACTCCACCGCACAGGCTGACAATTTGCATCGTATAATACACACAATTTAATTGTTTATGTTTTCATGCATATCAGGTCTCTGCATTGCATAACAAAAAAATTCAAATTCTCTGAAGACGAGCATGATGGCCACTTCTGCTGCCAAAGACCACCCAGGAAGCTCTTCTGTTTTTGCACAGCTTTTTCTTAACCTTTCAAGCTGCATGAAAAAGTCTTCTCGGCTTCAAACCTGTTAAGATTATTTAAATCAAAAATTTATATATATCGTTAAAAGGCGGGCATATAAAGCGAAAACTGTTGATGGTTGAAAAGATATAGATTCCATTTTGTCATTGGTCTGTGCGGTAAAAAATCACAGAAGAGGTCAACATAGTGAGAACAGAATAGCAGTGACACACACGGTTGCACTTTTTTTACAGCCATCCATTGACGTCGTCTTTGAACAAATGGCCAGCAGCATGGGATATATTTGTTGAACAGACAGCACGTGCGATATTGGTTCATCATTCGATAGAAAATTGTCATGAAAAAAACGATTTCTAAAAAGTTTCTCACGAACGAACTGGTTTTCACAGACATTTCCAATACTCAAATAGCAATTGGATCGCTTTGAAGAAAGCTAAAAAGCCAATGAGTTTAGCGTGCAGCCAAGCTTAATTTTAAAGCGGAAGGAAGTTGTTATCTGAGTGCGTTTGGTCGCAAACAACAACAAACAGAATTAGAATCTCTCTTTTCCTTTCTATGCTTACAGTGTGGCAATATGTTGGCCTGATCCGCAGATACCTAGAGTATATAGGTACTGTACAGGCCTAGTTTTTGTATGAGTATACTCCAAATTACAGTAACATTGTAATCGAAAAATGTAAAAGAAAAAAAAAAAGGCCAAATCCGAAAAAATGATCGTGACATGAGTATATAAGGCATTAACATATGGTTTCTTTATTCCATTTTTTTCTGGAATCGCTTGAAATCTATAACCAACATTTGATACTTTCTAGACGTTGGAGGGATTTTTCAAAGCCAATTTTGAGAAAATTGTTCGGCTACCGGGCATATAGTCAGAGGGTAGTTCAATTTGCTAGGAAATTCACTCTTTTTTTTTTCTTTGACAAAGTTATTGCAATTAGCTGTATGTAAGGGTACATCTATGTTTTCACTTAAGATATGCGATCTCGAGGAGGCCTTGATAATTCCACTGGGTTTTCGAGAACCAGGCGTCTAACACACGACTGATATATAACTCACTTGACTCCGATGTTGATTTCCGTTCAGATTATTGAAACGCCGGGCCTCTCACTGTCGCGGATATACTAGTCCGACTACATGTTTGACAGCTGCTTAGCTGCGAACGATTTTAATACTGCAGATTAACGAAGGAGCCCTCTGCCCGAGCGCAATATGTTTGTCTGTTCACGCACTAGTGACAGATGACCCGTAAACTGATTGGTAGGGATCGATGTATCCAGTAGTCAGTTTGTTCGACAATAGAATGTCACTCGAAATATTATGCACGGCCAGCTAAACAGTGCATATTAAGAAGTTTAAGTTGTTTTTCTTTCTCATCTCCTCGATTTCATGGCTCAAATCTGATTAGGGAATAAAAAGGCAGGAATCAATGAGACCGGTAACCAAATAGCATGGCACCAAACAGTCGTACACAAGGTCCGCGCTCTTCTGTAGCGTCGCGTGAGAGTGAAAATTTCGTCTCCAAGCCCTTACCGTGTCTGGGAATTTTAAACAAAACAATCACTTGTTAGTTGTTGACCACCGGCTTCAGACTGAATACCCTCGTGTTTCAAGGAGTAATAAATCTACGAAATTGTAACGGTAAGTAGAGAGTAAAGTTATTCTTCAAAAGAACAGTATTTGCAATTTTTCATCTTATGACTGACACAAGGAACCAACTGAACCGTTGAAAAAACGCGAAAACGTTGCCAAATATGATTTATAATGACGGAGTTCAACAATATTGACTTCTTTTGATATCGTTTTTGAAATTTCCTCATCACCAAAAATAAAATAAAAAAGCTTCTGGTTTTAATGTAACATCTTTGACAAGTCGAGAGCGACCTTGAAATTGCTTTCCCTACCAGAAAATATTCTCGCTGGCAATGTTATCTTCACAACTGTGGGACGGATTACCTTATGATATTTTACATAAGAAATAATAATCCTCGGAAAATGAAATTACAGAAGATCCATTAGTATTAACTGGCAGGCATATGATATTGATAGCAAGGGAGGTTTCATAAACAAATCAGTTGGACCTATTTTCCGGTACCACGCGGATCATACGCGAGCTGTGTTAGGATCATACGACGGTAAAAATGTTTCGTAACATTGTCCAACGATTTCTAGTAAAGTATGCTAGAACTGCATTATTTACCAAAACATTTCACGTTATCATATCGCAAGTGGATCATTGTTGTTGAAGTTTGAACCAGGGGAAGCATAGCGTGCAGGGACAATCTGTTTTGCGCAGCGGGAGGAAGTTGTCTCTTGAGCAGGATCATTTTCCCCTAACATTTGTCGCGTTCCTCTTTCAGTTTCTCCAAGATTACTTTTCCACTATTGCCTCCTCTTTTTTCTTGAATAAGAGATGTAACTATCACTTTGAATATTTGGCAATTATTTTTAATTACTAACTGAAGAACGAATGCATCATGCGAGCAAAATTTTAGAAACCTGCCTCAAATTTTCTTTCATGCAGGTCCGACTCGTTCCTACTCTCAATTTTAACCACACGTTCGCGGAGTCACGTTAAAAAAAAAAGAACTTCTATCACAAAGCCACAATGAGAAGGCGCAAGAGATCGTCTTCCTTCCTTCTCCTCCATCTTCTCCCACCCACCCCACCCCACCACCCCTCCTCATGCGCAATCGCGTGCGTATTTCTCAAAATGAAGAAGTGAGGATGGGACAGGGTACGTCTCATTCGCTGGTCCAAATGTAATTTATTACATTCAAAATGTGACCAGAATTCCTTACGGGAACGAAGAACCCACTAAAATTTGCTTCGCGTTTGCCTTTGTACCTCAGTTGATAGTAGCGACCTACTAATATTTGGGAAGCGCGTCGAAGCATGATTTTTTTCAGGCTTCTGTTGTGCAGCTCACCTGCGAGGTTTATTTCTTCTCCAAAACAACGGGGGATGAAGTTGTCTCCCTCGCAGCCGTTTTTAGTCTCGTCACGCAACGACGTGGGGCTTGTGGGGAGGAGCGTTGCGTGACGAGACTAAAAACGGCTGCGAGGGAGACTAGGGATGAAGTGCAGGAAGCTTGAACGCTGGAAACCGCAACGACATATGATATCGAGATCATTTATCGGGTTATCATTTGATCTTAAGAGCTACAAATTGACTTCTCAGCGTGGCGCGAAGTTTGAAATAGTCTTAAAAAGTACCAGGGGAATTTGCTCTCTAACGTCATTTTCTCTTCACTAAGCTAAGTGAATACTTTATAAACCCGTCTGGTCGGTTTTAGAAAATTTATCTAATCCTCCTACTTCCTTTTGTCCTCGCATTTGGTAAAAATGAACAAATCATTTTTTCATATAGAATTTAACTGCACAGATCAACATGTCATATGCTGTGCATCGAATTCCCACGGACTGGATACCAATGCGAGATGGGATCAGACTGGCCGCTAAGCTGTGGATCCCTGAACAGGAGGACAAAACATCTGAAACATTCGCAGAAGCTGAAAAATATCCGGCAATCCTAGGTAAATAAACTCATCGGCAAATAATCACATCTGCGGGCTAAAGATTTTAAATGCAGCGCCTAGATGCACTTGGGTTTGCTTGTAGTAAAACAAAATAGTTATGTCCAGCTCTCAAGAGGTTGCCTCTTTAGTGCTCGTAAACGGATTTCGACTAGAAAGATATGAGGACTTTAAAAACAACTCATGGCTTATCAGAACGAGTTCCTTTAAAGCAAGCTTTGTGTGGTTGTTGATTTGTCGTTATTCTCTCCAGAAATTCTACCATACAGACGCGCTGACTACACGGCTCAGAGGGATGAAAAGGTTCATTCACATTTCTGCTCCCATGGCTATGTTTGTGTCCGTGTGGACATGCGGGGATCTGGGGACTCTGAAGGATTTTATTATGATGAATATGACAAGCAAGAGCAAGATGACTGTTGTGACGTCATCAGCTGGGTTTCACAACAAACGTGGTGCACGGGAAATGTTGGTAAGTTCGCTGATCTCGTAAAGGAATTATTTTGTTTCACAGAAAACCTATGGCGTGACTTGGTGACTTTTAGTGCTTCGGGTGGTTTGCTTGTTCACAGTACATTGGCTGTTAGTGATTTTACCCTTTCTTTTAATTGGCTCTTATGATTACTATCGTTTTGGTCTTACGATACTGAATCGGAATGCACCGTGCCGAAGGAGACTAAGGGTGATTTTCATGCCGTATCAATTTATTCCAGGCATGTATGGTAAAAGCTGGGGAGGATTCAATGGTCTTCAGGTGGCCGCCAGACAACCTACGGCATTGAAGACAATCATATCTGCTGACTCTAGCGATGATCGATATGCTGACGATATTCATTATCGAGGTGGCTGTATCCTTGGCAGGGAAATGCTGTCATGGTCACATGTCATGTTCCTATATAATGGACGTCCTCCCTATCCTGAAAACTTTGGACCAAGGTAGTTGTTTTGATCGAGCTGGAATGTAAATTCCTTTCTCTATCGCGATATCCATGTTTGACGCGCAGATAAATCTTGCAAAAAATCCTTTGNTGCATACTGGAAGCATGGTTCCATCGCCGAGGATTACGCCTCTATCAAGTGTCCCGTGTTCCTTGTGGGGGGATTTACCGATCTCTACACCGATGCAATATTTCGTATGGTGGAACACCTGAATTGCCCAGTTCGGGCGCTCATTGGACCGTGGCCCCATAAATGGCCTGGTGTCTCCACACCAGGGCCTCGCATAGACCATCTGAAAGAGTGCCTGAGGTGGTGGGACTACCATTTAAAGGGCCTTCCGACTGGTGTCATGGACGAGCCTGTGATGAGGGTGTATATGAGGGATGGTATGCTTTCATCAATTGTTTGTTTCGTTATTTTTCTGAGTTATTATCAAATGATATCTGTGTGCACCATGACCAATCAATTTTTACGATCCCAGGAATTTCGAAGGCGCACAAGGAGGAGATATGGCCAGGGAGTTGGATAGCAGAGGACTGCTGGCCCTCACCCAATGTGCAGCATCACAAATTCGTTCTACAAACTGATAGAGGACTGGCACTAGAATCAGATGCAAACGAAAAATTCATTGAAAAAGAGCCAGTGGAATCCATAGCAAAAGTCAAGTCATCTTGTCTAAGTGGAGCGTGGGGCGGTTTTCTATTTGCAAATGGTCTCGAGGATCTGCCGGTGGAGCAAGGAATGGAGGACGCTCTGGCAGAGTGCTGGGAGACGGCAACATTTAAGAAGCCTTTGGCAATAGTAGGCTTCCCTGAGGTTCATTTACAATTTACCTGTGATAGACCCACTGCCTTAGTTGCCGCCAGACTTTGTGACGTGTTTCCTAATGGCGAATCAGCGCTAATAACAAGAGGTACGCACACTTAACAAAGCTGCTGCCACATGCATGGTTAATTTAAACAGTCCAGTGCGAGAAGGTGACAAAATGCCAATGTATACGATTATCCCCGCTCGGTATGAGGAAAAAGTTGGAGGAATAAGAACAGGAGCGTAGATTTTCAGGTCAAAACGCAAAGTTTTTCCCTATTTCGATCTAATATTGGTCAATCATTTTTCCCACCAAATTTGCCTCCGGAGAATTGAAGGAGAAGTACAAACAACCTGGCGCCTTCTCATACTTTCCTATTTTCATAATTAAGTTCGAGATTTCCCCCCTCGCGAGTCACCATAAAAATGGGTCCATATGGTTCAGAAATTCAGGTCGCTTAAGACACACCAAACCACAAAAAGGTGTCTAATTTCTTGTTGTCCCACAAAATTTAAGTATCCTGAAGGTATTTCAGATATACAAATAAATAAACTGAGATTAGAACGTGAGTTTAGAGTCTTCAAATATGAGTAAAACTTTGTCTTAAGTACCCGCAAAACAGTACTCCTCACGGTCACACGTCAACCGCAATCTGCAAGCCGCTCGATAAGAGCGACGTCACGTGATATCTTTACGTTTGCTGTTCGCGGTTATCGAGAAAAAAAAACCTTAGACTTAAGGGCACTATTAATTAACCTTCACGCCACCTCAGATAAAAGTATTTTGCTCAACCTCGACCGATGATTTGCTTTTATTTCTTAATTTTCTTGCAGGAGTGCTAAACTTGACTCATCTCCGCGGTCATACTTCAGAAGATATTCAGCCTCTTCAGCCAAATGAAAATTATCATGCGCAGTTGAAGCTTGACTCTACAGCCTATACTGTAGCTGCTGGTCATAAAATTCGCCTGGCACTCTCCTCAGTCCACTGGCCGTTAGTGTGGCCTTCTCCACAGACGTCAAGTCTCTCGATAAAGACAGGAAGTAAAAGTAAGCTACTACTTCCGGTTCGAGTTTCGTGTGACGGCGTTAGAAATAAAGATTCCAAGTTCCAGTTGCAAGAAATGGAGTCACCGATGGAGTATAAACACGAGATTCTTCCAGTTGAGTGGCGGAGGAGACCAAAGAGGGAAAGGTAAACTGAATGGGGTGCAGACGCCTGCCGCTGGAAATGTGGAGTGTGGTCGATGTATTTGACTGCCACTTGCCGAAACTGAATGTCAGATATTTGTTCCTTCATTCGTTTCATAGCAGGTCGGAAGGTCACATTGACTAATTACTCAAGACATGATAATTGTTCAGCATCCAAATCATCAAAACTGAGGAAAGAGTTTAATTCAATTATGTAATAGCGAAAGGGTATTTCATCTTTTGAAAAATTCGGTACAAGGGCTTTTGGAATATTTCCTCGGCATCATGAGAACTTCTTTTTCCTGTGTTATTAAATCTTCAACCTTTTAATGAGATTGTCATGAGCATCCAGTGTAATTCCCCTCTTTTTTGTTCTTTTTTTGGAGGACCTTGGAGACGTGTCAGCTGTCAGATGAATACAAGTTGTCATTTACCACTGACTTTGGATGTTTTCATCTGAAAGACACGAACCGCATATACGATAACATCAGAAAAGAAATCTTTACAATCAAAGAGGGTGACCCAGCTACTGCAAAGGTTACAATGCAAGGTGATATTACTTTGAAGAAAGATGATCAGATCGCTGAGCACGAGGACGGTGGGCGCGAAAGGTGGGAAACTAAGGTCCAGGCCTTGAGCGAGATGTGGTGTGATGAACATAACTTTTATGTAAAAAGTCAATTAACAGCTTGGCATAACAGCGAAGAGTGCTTTGATAGGACATGGACGAAGAAAATAGAACGTTTTTATGTTTAGTAGTGTCTTTAGCAACAATGAGTGCCGTAACGAACGGAGTTCTTCTCACATGGTCTTACACTCCATTAGTGCTCCGAACGCGATAGGGTTGGATAAGAATATTACTAGGAACCAAGCCAGTCTTTCTATCTATCAAATTTCTTTAATTACTTGCTTGATTCACGTAAAAACTGAAAAGATAATTACAACTAAACGCCTATTACTACGGTGACGACACGAAACAGGGGGCGTATCATAATACTAGAAAATTACTAATATTTCAAATCACTGGCGATACAGGCAAAAACATCGAACCCAATTATAACTAAATCAACAAGCATGCACAATAAACTACAAATCATACCTCTTTCTCCAATCTTAACCGGGCGGCGGTTAGCTCAATTGGTTAGACTTAACTCAGTTATTTTTCAATTTTATGATGAAAATGAGCAGTGGAAATTTTCAGCAGCTGCGAGTGATCATTTTGGTGTTCTTTTAAGGAGAAAACGGTGATTTTGAATCGTCAGAATATTGATTTTATTATCGCTCATTTTTCTTAAATACTTTTTATCCAAAGCGTATTGTCTTCCTTCTGCGTTTTTTGTAATAACAGTTAGCGATTTCTTGAACCGTATGTGACATTTGGTTTTCTAGTTTTCTATTGATGATTTCTATTCAGTTAAACTTCGTTTAATATCTAAACACATTTTGCTGGTGGGAATGGGGCAGCAGGTTCGGCAGTTGTCACGCGATCGGTTGGTTAGCGGCAAACAAAAGTGCAACAACATATTCAAATCAAAATCTTTATTTTCTTTCCTGAGCGTACAGTCTTAGAATTAGTCTTACTCGCTGATACCTAGCATCTACCGGTATATGTTTAATATTTATTTTTTTCTGCTTATGCTATTTTCTGGAAGTCATTTGTTATAGTATGCTTGTCCAAAAGGGACAATATACCAAGATGTATTTATTCACATCAAGTTTTATATATCTACGTCAGGATTAGATTACACATATCAAGATTTGCATGGACTCGGAAAACAATATTTCAATATACTTATCAAGATTTACGTACACGCATCAAGATCTGCTTGCAATTACATCAAGTCAAATAAATATTGATCAAGTTCCTCTTACAAGGATCGACAATCAAATATAATATCGAAGTTCGCGTACCGACAACAACATTCGCAATTATACATCAAGATTCGCATTTATTCATCAAGATCCTCATGTTTTACATCAAGATTTATACATCGAGATTGTGATAGGCTTGTATGATCTACTAAGTGAAAAGTTTGCCTGGTTACTAAGTGAAATGTCTCATCTCAAGCACTTTTTCGAGGAATTTCTGAGAACTTTCCACGAAGGAATTGAAGGGCTGGAGCAACTTGAAGACATCGTTCGTTACAGGCAAGCTATTTGTCCAGGTACAATCACAGGCGGCCCAGGCTCTGTCACAGACTCTTTCACAGTGGATTATTATAGAGTTTATATATAGTGGTTTAGTTGGACTTGCTTTTGAGCTCCTTAAATATAAAGTTGTGTGAAATAATAAAAGAAATAAAGTCTTACCTTCATACAGAGTAGTCTGTGCTGTTCTTGTCGCGATTTGAGGCCGCTTTGCTGTGTTTCAGCTCAACGTCCTCCCACTACCAAGTAAAAGGGAAGGAAGGAGACCTCTGGCACACACGCTCGCCAAAATCGCTCGAAAAACACACTTAAATACTTCCCCTTGAATCGAAACTTTGCAGCACGAAAGCCAACTAGTTTCCCTTCAAGTTCATCAAAACAAATCCCACAAAAGTTGGGTTGTCGAGCAACCAGCCCAGCGAAAATCTCAAATTGACCGCCATTTCAACGCCGTTAGAATGCGCGTCCATCAAAACCTGTGCAGTCAAAAGTTCGTTAAGACGCGGTCAGCCTGGACACTAGCAAAATTAGGACCAACGG